ACAGATCCTTAAATGATACAACAATATGTAAAACTGTTTTAACAAATCAAATTAAAAGATCAACAAGATCAATTCGACGTAAATATGCTAACCTGCAACAAGATCTGGTAAACGAACAGTGGAATTATGATATATATAAGCAGGAGTGAGATCAGGCATTGCAGCAATTAGAAAATAAACGGGCATTTAATGAATATTGGTGAGACCGAATATGTGATAGATATATAAAATAGAAGAATAAAACTAAGGATGAGCGTATACAAATACAGAACTGTCGAAATGAAAGAGCTCTTGATGAATTTTGGCGAGATCGACTATATGATCAGTATAAAAAATGGAAAAATAAGACTAAAGATGAATGCCAAATAATTCTGAATCAAAATCAGAATATTTTAAATTTATAGCAACAAAATTTTGCATTAGTAAATAATCAGCAAAATCAACTAATGGCATTACCTGTAGGATTTGCACAACCAGAATTCTCTGATGGTGAAGAAGATCATGAAGATTTCGTAAATAGGTTCATATCATATATTACCTTGGCTGGAGTAAATAATGATACAAATATTCTCACTATATTAGATCGATCCTTAAAAGGAGAAGCGAAAGAATAGTATCATAGAGAATTTGACAATAAAAATTGGGAGTTAGAAAATGTACTTGATAACTCTGGAATAGGTGCAACAATAGCACATATTCGTGGTGCTAATGCAGGAGGTATAACAGGTGCAGTCGCTTCTTTCCCAAATGTTCCACTTGGACTTACAGGTGCACAAATTATCCTTGCTCAAAATGTTGCTAAAGATTGGACAATAGCAAGAAGATGCCCAACTAATACAGTACTAGTTGCACCAAATGCTAGAGGAGGTGTTTCTATTATTCTAGCAGGAATACGATCTGAACAAAGGCTTTGGTGGATAAAAAAACATTATCCAACTGCTAATAAATATGTAAAGATGTTAGAAATTGGAGCATTAAGACAAGGTGTATATGAGAGTGTACCTTCATTCTAAGCAAAAATTCAGAAATATGGCGATCAACTCGGTTATACTCCAGCACAGAAGAAACCCATTTCTTATCTGGAGTTAGACCTGATATTAGAGATGAAATTTATTGAATTGGTCAAACAAAACCCATTAATGATATTATTGATAGTTTGGCAGAACTTGAATTACGTCATGGAATATTACAACAGGCACCATCTCAATCTCACCATGCACCTATTGATTCTGCTATTTCAGATGTTATACCTTAACAACCGGCATTCCCCATGGCTGATATGCAAAAATGATTCAAGATGCATTTGCAAAACAGTGAGCTGAATCTAAAGCTGAGATAAAAAAATTAAAGGCTGAACTTCAAACACAACAACCATAAGTTGCAACAGTAGGAAATTTTTAACCCCCACCCAAGTTTTACACTATAAAATCAGAAAAACCTCGGCAAGCATTTTATATAGTAGATCAAGAAGGTAATAATATGGATCCACTTATCCAAGATCCAGATTACCTTAAATACCTCGAGCAAGCAAAAGCCTTATATAAAAAACCACAAAGATCCAACCAATCTGTCAGAATAGATAGAAT